TTACATATATAGGTACTACATGTGGACCTCTCTCAGATTTGTTCATTCATGATGATATCTTTAATTCTCTAATTTTGATGAATATTTTTGTAATTTTTGGTAAAAAGTGATATTTTCGACTTCTGTTGAAAACCGCAAGTCCAATTGCTTTGATATATTATACATATAGGTACTACATGTGGACCTCTCTCAGATTTATTCATTTTCTAATGATATTTTCTGTTCTTTAATTGCCATGTGCATTGCTAACAGCGGAGCTATCTCAGCCGACAGGCTGCTTGTTTAAAAGTTTTATCGAATTTTCAATATACTGGTATAATATAATAGCAATAACCCCCGCCGAAGTTGGGTATACCACTTGATATTGCACAATTCACTCCATATATGCACTCCCCTGCGGCTCGTGCATATATGTCGTGAATTGTGCAATATCTTAGGTCAAAGTATTTGGGGGCATTGAGGGTCTTCTACTAGCATTTACCCATGAAAATTGTCTCTCTATCCTGACCAAGCAACGGCAGACGCTTCTTTGTTTCAATTCAAATTTGATCCGGGTTGCGTGTAAATACATTCCATGTGTGAGGGACGTCTCGTCTCAACATCCACTTTATTTCTTTATTATATATTATGTATTATGGAATTGTGTGCTAGTTAACACTTGGGTTGTGGCAAATTTAACACCTCTCCGAGGTGTGACTACTTTTGAAACCTGCCATTGTCTTCATTTAAACGGCGGCGCGTGACACAAGAATTCTGTGACCCTTCGGTGAACATGCACCCGTTTTTACTAACTACAATTATAATTCTATGATTCTTTAATCGCTGACTACGGGTTCATACTAATTTTACCGAAAGAAAAAACAATTTTCACATGTTATGCGGAGTGTGCTGGCTGGTCATGGCCGTTTATTAAATTATTGTGCTGTCACGTTTCCTGTGCAATTTCGTGAAGAGCAAACATCGATTCTATGCAAACGACTGAACGAACTTTTTGATATAAACAAAAAGCACTGGAAATAGTAGTTAAAACTGCTTTTATTTGCGACCTTCGCAATGTAATCCGCGTACACTAGTCGACTGTAATGTTGAGTACAGGGCGGCGTGCGCCGGTTGACACCTCGGCTAGATCGCGTTGACACCTCTTTGCTACCATTATTTTTATATATGAATCGCCCCTAAAATAAAAACCTTAACAGCATCATGCCAATCTTAACCAACCATGTACACATCATTTCATAACCATGGTAAATATTTGATTTTACTGTGATAAAACACAATTGAACGTACGTTGTTATATTATAAGCAAACGTTACAAGCCTTTGTATTACCCCGCGCATAGGGCTTTTTTGCTACTAGCAAACGATACATTTTACCACTTGCATATGCCGTTTTAACCACTAGCATATGGCATATTTTGCTACTTGCGACTCGCAACTTGGTACTCGCATACGGCACTATTTCTAGGTCGTACATACCTCTTTTTTGGGTAGGGCGAGGTCATATTAATAATAACCTAAAAGATGACTTCCGATAATAAGGAAGCTATTTTGAAATTGAGTTCTGAGGCTCTGAGTCCTGAAAAGTATACACTACCAATTGAATACATTTGGTAAAACTTGTGAATCTGAAATCAGGAATTCATGAATCTGAATTTAACAGAATCAATTATTCTGAGCATGCTCAGTTGCTCTGTCAGTGTAGTAGAGAGAGGTAATTTTGGATGAAAATCTTGAAAAAGACCCACTTAGGATTTTCAGATCTGAAAAAAAAAATACGTGCCTATGTAAAACATACTTGTTCATCAACCTGCCAAGTTTCATTGACATCTGCTGCAGAGTCCCTGAGAAAATGTGAGAGATAACTTGCAGCAACTTCAAAATGAGACAGAAAGTAAATCTAGTACTCCCCTTTCAGGCTTCGCCTGAACGGGGGACTAATTAGAGAATTCAAGATGTCGTCACAAGATCAACAAATCTGACAGAGGTCCACCTGATGTACGTACATATACAATATCAAAGCAATCAGAATAGCAGTTTTCAAGGATAAGTCGAAAATATCATTTTTTACCAAAAATGACAAATATATTCATCAAAATTAGAGAAATGAAGATATCATCTCGAAATGAATAAATCTGAGAGAGGTCCACCCAAGGTACCTTCATACCAAGTATCAAAGCATTTGGGTTAGCGGTTTTCAAGAAGAAGTCGAAAATAGCATTTTTGACCAAAAATGACAAAAATATTTGCTATAAATAAGACAATTGAACATATCAACACGAAATGAACAAATCTAAGAGCGAAATATACCTAAAAATACCTTCCTAGAAAGTTTCACAGCTATACAGTTTGTGTTTTTTTGACTTTGACTTTTTTGACTTCGTCGACAGAGGAGCTAATAAACTGCATCATTTTACACATTTTTGTTTTCACACACTAGCAAGTGGGAAAGAAACTTAATGTATATCCTTATATAAATCTAAGGATGGATGTATCTCACAGACTTTGTGACAGAAATTTCCTGATACATGTAGTTATTTCTCTATACAGACTATTTGAAATTTCCAACGAAAACAAGCAGCCTGTCGGCTGAAATGGTTCAGCTGTTAGCAATGCACATTTCAATTAAAGAACTGAAAATATCATTAGAAAATTAACAATATGTATAGTATCAAAGCAATCGGACTCTCCGTTTTCAACAAGAATTCAAAAATAATACTTTTTACCAAAAATGACAAAAATAATCATTAAAATTAGATAATTAAAGATATCATCACATAATTAACAAATCTGAGAGAGGTCCACATGTAGTACCTATTAATGTAATATCAAAGCAATCAGACTTTCGGTTTTTAAAACAAGAAGTTGAAAATATCTCTTTTTACTAAAAATGACAAAAATATTCACCAAAATTAGAGAATTGAAGATATCATCATGAAATGAACAAATCTGAGAGAGGTCCACATGTAGTACCTATATATGTAATATCATAGCAATCAGACTTTCGGTTTTTAACAAGAAGTCGAAAATATCACTTTCTACCAAAAATGACAAAAATATTCACCAAAATTAGAGAATTGAAGATATCATCATGAAATGAACAAATCTGAGAGAGGTCCACATGTAGTACCTATATATGTAATATCAAAGCAATCAGACTTTCGGTTTTTAACAAGAAGTCGAAAGTATCACTTTTTACCAAAAATGACAAAAATATTCACCAAAATTAGAGAATTGAAGATATCATCGTGAAATGAACAAATCTAAAAGAGGTCTACCCAAGGTACATATACACCAAGTATCAAAGCATTCAGACTTGTAGTTTTCAAGAAGAAGTTGAAAAAGTAAAACGTTGACACGAACGACGGACGATGCCAAACAATCACAGTGGAGCTAAAAAAAAACCTTATCTGAGCTAATCTTCGTAATGTAAGTCAGTTGTGAGCATTTTGACCAATTTTCAATTTTATGACTGCCAGTTTAGGTACCCATTCTTTTTCTTTTTTTTTCATTTACTTGATGGAAACTCTTGCTCAGCAGAATACCAATGTGAATTTTCTATTTTTGTTTACGTTTATGCCAAATTGATCTTTAACT